GGCAAATCTCTGGTGGCAGTGGATGAAGAAGATGCACAGGGAAGAAGGAGGAGAATTGGACTGGACCAAGTTTACAAATGAACTTTGAGCTCGTTTTGGGCCACCTAAGTGTGAAGATGTTGATGAGGCCCTATATAAATTAAGGCAGACTGGCCCACTTTGAGAATTCCAAATGGAGTTTGAGCATTTGGGCAATAGGGTTCGAGGCTGGACTCAGAAAGCTTTGGTTGGCTCTTTCATGGGTGGGCTTAAGCCCAAGATTACTGATGGGATCCGTTTATTTCGGTCCAAAACTCTAAAGGAGGCCATAAGCCTGGCTCGGATAAACTGGCTGAGGCGGTCTACCTGAACTGAACAGCTCAACTCTAATACACAGACGCAAACCCTAACAATCGTGTCTCTGTCTCCAGGTGCTTTGGTGCAGAAATCGACCAAGCGGTTGTCTTGGGAGGAGATGTAGAAACGACGAGCCCAGGGTTTATGCTTCAATTGTGACGAAAAGTTTGTGGTCGGCCACCGGTGTCGCAAACCCCAATTGCTACTAATCGAAGGTGAAGAGGAAGAAGAAGAAATGATCGCAGCTAAAGAACTAGAAATTTTCCTTCATGTTTTTTCAGGTTGGTTGACCGGTCGAAGCATGAAGATTGTCGCTTCCATTAACAACCAGAAGATAGTGGTCCTTGTAGATAGTGGTTCGACTCACAATTTCATTAGTGAGCGACTCCCCCAATCAACTTCACCTTCCTGTCATTCTGACCAATTCCTTTTCAGTATGCGTTGCCAGTGGACAACCCATGAGTTGCCAGGGAAGATTTGAACGAGTTCTGGTGGAAATGTAAGGTATCAAATTCTCCCTCACTTTTTATGCATTGCCTTTGATTGGATTAGATTTGGTTTTGGGAGTACAATAATTGTCCGAATTAGGCATAGTCGTTTGTGACTGACAAAATATGTCGATGAAATTCGTATGAAAAGGACAGATGGAACTCCTTCGAGGTATCACTCCACCTCTTCCTTGATCAACTACCCTAAAAGAAGTTAGCAAGGAATGGAACCAAAAACACTCTCTATTTACTATTTGTGTGGTTACCCATGCAGAATTTGAGTCACCTACCATTAAGCCAGAATTACAGAATTTGATTTCCAAATTTTCTGACATTTTTCAGGATCCAAAAGGGTTGTCGCATATTAAAGAAGTTGACTACCAGATTGTTCTTCGAGAAGGTACTGAACCAATCAATGTCCGACTTTACCGGTGTGCTCATTTTTAAAAAACAGAAATTAAAAGACAGGTTAACAAGATGTTTGATTCTGGTTTAATTAGACCCAGTAATAGTCCTTTTTCATCACCAACGTTATTGGTACGCTAAAATGATGAAACATGGAAGTTTTGTACTGACTATCGTGCTCTTAACTTGGCAACTGTGAAAGATAGATTTCTTATCCTCACTGTATATGACATATTCGATGAATTACATGGAACTCAGTTCACTAAATTAGACATAACTGCAGTTTATCATCAAGTACGAGTTCATCTTACAGATATTCACAAAACGACGTTTCGAACACATAATGGGCATAATGAGTATCTGGTAATCCATTTGGGATAGGCAATGCTCCATTTACCTTTCAAGCTATCATGAACTCTATTTTCTGTCCCTATTTACATAAGTTCGTATTGGTATTTTTTGATAATATCTTGATCTATAGTAGCAGCTGAGTTTTACATTTTGAACATGTTGAGCAGGTATTCAATATTCTCAAGCAACACCAATTCTTTTTCAAGTTGAAGAAATGTGTATTTGGTGAGCAAGAATTAGAGTATCTAAGACATATTATTACACCATAATGAGTAAAGGTAGATTAACACAAAATTCAAGCAATGGAGTCTTGGCCTAGTCTAACTACTATCACTGAATTTAGGGCATTTCTTGGACTCACTGGCTATTATAGAACGTTTGTTCGCAATTATGGAATTATAGCTCGGCCTTTGGCCAATCTCTCAAAGGAAGACCAATTTGGATGGTCAGAAGAAACCGAGCAAGCTTTCAATAAGCTCAAATGGGCTTTGTCATCAACTCCCACTCTGCACTACCTAACTTTCAAATTTTCTTTGTGATTTAGACTGATGCTCCTGGTGACGGTATTGGGGCATTTCTTTCTCAAATTATTCAGTCAATTGCATATATGAGCATAACTTTGGACATTTCCAAACAAGCTTGGTCTACCTACGCAAAAGAAATGTTGGCAATTATTGTTGTAATTAAGATGTGGCAGCCATACCTTCTTGGTCACAAATTTCATATACAGACGGACTATAGAAGTTTGAAATATCTTCTTGAGCAATGCATTACAACTCTTGAATAACAAAAATGGCTTATAAAACTATTTAGTTATAATTATGAGATTATCTACAAACTAAGAAAAGAAAATTCTGTTGTAGAGGCTTTATCCATAAGAGATGACAGTCCTACACTTCATGTTTTATCCAATCTGCATACACAACTATGGGACAACATCCGCTAGTCTTTGGTGACAAATCCTTCGCCAGTCTTTCGTGGCAAATCCTTATCTGTAGAAAATTGAAAAATTAGCTATGGAAAATCCTGACCAGCCATATGCAAAGAAAGACGGATTGATTTTTTTTTCAAAAATTGGATAGTCATTCCTCCTTGAACCGACATCATGAATAAACTATTATAAGAATTTTATGATTCACCTATGGGAGGGCATTCGGGTATTCAACACACATTCAAATGTCTTGCTCAACAGTTTTATTGGCCATCCATGCATAAGACCATTCGTGAGTATGTTTCCTCTTGTGATGTTTGTTAGAAATCTAAAGCAGATACTCTTACTCCAGTTGGACTACTTTAACCATCGCCAATTCCCAATCAAATTTGGGAAGATATTTCCATGGATTCCATTGAAGGTTTACCTACTTCTCATGGTAAAAGTGTTATTTTTTATGTAGTCGATCGCCTCACTAAATCTGCATACTTTGCCACTCTGAGTCATCCATATACTGCCAAGATTGTTGCATAACTCTTTATCAACACAATTGTCAAATTACATGGCATGCCCTGGTCAATTATTAGTGATCGTGATCCCATATTTCTCAATAACTTTTAGCAAGAATTCTTTAAACTGTTTGGTACTAAGCTCAAAATGAGTTCAACATATCACCCTCAAACTGATCATCAAACTGAAGTCGTTAACAGAAGTTTGGAACAATATCTTCGATGTCTTTGCCACTAACAACCTCGCAGTTGGATTTCTATATTACCTTAGACTGAATTTTGGTACAATACCATATACCATTCATCTATCAAGATGTCTCCATTCCAAGGACTCTACGGATGACCACTGCTTAATATTCCTCCTTATCATACGGGTGGTTCCCTTGTGAATGAAGTTGATATTCAATTGACTAACTGCGATGCCTTGCTACAACAACTTAAACTTAATTTCCAGTGCCAACCATTGCATGTAGCAAATGGCCCATTCCAAGCAGCGTGACGTCTAATTTCAAGAGGATGATTGGGTTTTCAAACAACGACAACAATCTGTCTTCAAACAAGCCTTTCACAAAATTATTGTTGTTTTATGGGTCTTTCCAGATCATTAACGAATTGGACTGTGGCTTATAACTACAGTTGCCTGCTACATCCTGCATCATCCAATTTTCACATT